GAAAACTGTCTGGAGCTAAAGACAGTCTATGGCTACAGCCCCAGCTAGTGGCATGAGACAGTGTTACAGGCTTATTGGGTCCAACATGTCAAAATATTCCTTCAAAGTTCCCATATTTTTATTCTTTTCAATCACTTTAAATAAGTCTGAGCTCCCCAAAACATGTCTGTGAAGTTTCTTTTTTTAAATTCCACTCTGATCCTGTATTTAATCATGCCTATAAAACCTGCTCAGAACAGACTGTTTCTGTGTCTGTACCTTTAAATGCAAATGAGCTGTGTCTGACCACACCCCTCTCTCTGGAGTTGCTTGGTCTTTCTTGCTCCATGTCCTATTGTTTACTGTGAGAAGGCAGAGTCAGAAGGCAGACAAAACATTTAGTTGTGCGAGTGTCACCCACCTGGGGGAGGGGTTACTGCCCTTTGTGATGTCATGAAGGGAGAACAGCCTCAGGAACAACAGCCTGTTTGAGCACACATTTTCTGAGAAGTGGAAGAGGCAAAAGACAGAGAGGATGGACTTTTCTCATAAATGGGAGGTTTGTAGACCGACTAGGGACACACATTAGTGTTAGAAAAACATGCTAAACTGTATTTTGCATAATATGTGACCTTTCACTGAGTAATTCTGGTTCCGACTAACGAGTGTGATGATGTAAAACCGTTTAGCCCCCAATCACTACTAAATACAGATCATCAATATTGTTGCTGATGTTCTCGTTTACTTTGGTAAATCATACATCACACAGAGGCATCACTATTAAATTAGGTAACACATAATACGATAAAACACTAACATGATGCTCACACAGTTTGCACTCCACAACAGCTTAAATTCCACTTGATGGCTTCAGATAAAGTGTTTCAAGTAGAGAGGCGGCCTTATTCTTAATCAGAGTACTTTCTTTAGCAGAAGGATGAATGGTTCGATAGTTCTTGACCAAAAAACAGACCGAAGTGCCATCTACAGACACATTTTATGCACTTAAAGGTAACGTTCAAAATTAAGTAGACTAAAACTTACCCTGGTCTGTCCCTGTCTGTTTCATGAGTGATTTTCCTGACAGTAATAAGTATGACTTCTAAAAATGATGAAGAGGTACTTGAGCCTCTCTTAAAGAGTTGTGAAGATACGCTGAAGGGATGAAAAATCTTGGGAAACGCAGCCTCAGCCCAATAAGCACTGTCCGTCATGCGGTTTGAAAAGAGACGAGATAAGTAAAGGCTCTCTTTCAAACACAAACGAGCTTTTTGTCAGAGGAGAATAACGAGATAAAAATAAGGGTCGGAGCGGGACAGAGAGATAAAGACTCATGAGGAGAGAGGCGGAGCTCGATCTGAAGAGAGAGAGAAAGGAAAGTGCTGATGGAGGCAGATCGGTCGACAGTTGTTACTGCATGAGTGACAGAGCGAGTTCGTGCTGACACACATTCTGCTCTCCTCACAGTCCCACAGGCACCGTCTGAGCTCTCGCTACAAGTTGTTCGTCTTCATCACGGCGGGGCTCTAAAGCAGCTGTCACACATCCCACGGAAAAAAAAAAGAAGGGCTAACAGATCTCTGACTACATCACTATTCTTACTCAGAGCTCACATGAAGGGTCACAGTCTTGTGTACACAGCAAAAGAAAAAAATAGTCCATCGTAACAATCCGGTCTGTTTTTGAGAACGTGTCTGCCAAGATGTTTTAGTGTTTTAGATGTTTGTGGTGTTACTCTTTCCCAGCTCAGTGTAGTTTGTTTAAAGACTTCTTCATGAGTTACAACACTGTTCTTGGAACAGGAGGAGTTACGTTCCTCACACAAAGCGAGATCTATAACATATCTAATTGATTTGGAGTTTTACTTTTTAACTCGTTTAAAGCCTCACTTATTTGATTTGTAGGTCAACTGCTGAAAAGAGCCAAAATCACAGGGTCCTCATGAAAATGAACATCCTTTCCTCTCTTATTAACACAAATTCTTTGCCCAGATTACATTTTTGACAGATCCTAAAGTTTTCTGTTTAAGCTGATGAGTCTAGACAAGCCAACATGAAATAAAGAATACTAGATCCTGTATGTAAAATGAAGCAGAAGTTGGCAATTATTTTTTAAAGGGTCCCATACTTTTCAATAACTTCATTAAAGGGAAGACCATGCAACTGTACATTAACTGGAGAGTTCCTGAAAATAAACATGTTGTGCTAACTGTGGAGCTGTGCTTGAGCCAGTACAAATCAGATCAGCAGGATGAGCAAAAATTCAGTAGGTTAGAGTAATATTTAACATTGAGGAACAATTAAGTTTTAATTCCTGGCAGATTCCCAAATAAGGTGAATACTCAACAGATAAAACAATGCAGATGTCTTCCCATGTGTTGCATGAAATGTTTCTCCAGTCAGGTCCTGTTCTGTTTCATTTTTATATAGACGTATCAGTTTGACTTGACTTGACTTTGATTTGTAAACATAATGTAGAGCCTGATCTCTTTTAGAAATCACCCACAACTAGAAGCAACTTTTTTTTTCAAGTCAAAGAGTTATCAACTGCTTTCGTTCAGGACCCTGAAATATGACTTTTATATGCAACGAACACATGTACAGAAAGGATCCATTATCTAACCTAATTCAATGCAATTAAATCTGACAGCAGCTTTGAGCCTGAGCACAAACCTGGAGCTGAAGCTTGACTAAAGCTCGTACACATACAGCTATAAAACCACAAAAGTGAATCGATATGCTGCCATCAGCATGTCCTTCAGACATGGACACTATCTGCAGCATGCATTTGGATAATTTACTTTGGACAACAGCGATCAATATAGATGTATATGTGTGTTTTATTTCATAAGTATCCATTATAACTCAGGATGGAGCCGGAGTCAAATCAATGTTCCTTCTGAGTGTTGTCTGAATGGCGACACACACCTGATCACGGTTATTCTCTGGATACATTTGAAATATGCACGTAAACACTCACAAACATATTTAGCCAAAGGGCCAGCTGGATGATATACGTGTATATGTGCATTATTAAATAATAATTTATAAACTTAAAAATGCACATAAACAAATACAGGGGAATAAAACTGCTGCTCAGAGCCAACAGACTTCCTGCTAGGACGTCAGTAAGAACCGGCTAAAGGGCACAAGAAATAATGAGGCTACCGGCGTGGTATGTATAATTTATTGTGTTTGAGGCACGCTGAGAAAAAAAGACCTATTGAGCTGAGGAATATATCGAGTCAGAAAAACAACTAAAGGACAAGTAAACAACAGCACACTCGTCAGAGCCTACCTCTAAAGGTGATTGTGGTAATGGTTTGTGGGCTCAAGCCTGTATTTTATACTTTCTCATATTGTAGAGGCAGAAAATTACAGAAATCCTCGATAACTCTAACACCTTCCCACCCCTCGCTTATCCAAAGGTAAGGATTTTGTTTTTTGAATAATTGAAAGGACACAGATTCTGTTTATATCCACCATGGGAACTCCTTCCTGTCCAACTGTTAGCCCTGCCACCACGACGGGAAGAGAGACAGAGGTATACAATACTTCAAAGAAATAGAAACAGAATCGACTTTGGGATGATTATATGAATGGAGATCAGTCGTACAAACAGCTGCACTCAGCAGCACTAAGGGAGGGGGCTGAGGGGAAGCAATGCACTGAAGGGGTGGCTATTTTGGGGTCTATAGACTGGTACTGAAGTGCCACATGTAGTGGACATCTAGTTTGTACATCATATATCATATCTTTAAACAAGCTGTTAATTGAAACAAGGCTGACCACTGACTTACCATCCATGACTCATCATAAATGTCATTGAGCGGGATGGCATGGAGTGGAATCAATTTTACTTTGGTCAGCATTCACACCCATTCTCACCCTGGTGGCAGAGACTGCAATTTTGGTTTTACAGAAAATTCAATCCTATAGCCTATTTTCCATGTACCGTCTTATAGAGTTCCAGGGTCCTTCATCTCCAGAGAGGGCTGAGGCTGCCCATTCCATTGACAATATATCCATGAATTCTTTTAACCAATTGTCAATGCTAAAGCAATTAGCTTTACATAATTTCCAATTCATCATAGTAATACGCTTCACTGACAAAAAGGCTAGTGTGATGATTCGTTGTGTGAGCGTTGACTGTATGTTTCTTACTCTAGTGCCAAGAAGGCAGACTGGAGGACAGGGTGGTATTTTTACTTTCAGAATAAAGACTGTCCATCAGTATTAACCAATCCATTCGTACACATTGCCGACAAAGCAGTGGGAGCAAATTTGGGGTTAAATGTCTTCCAGCCACAACGGACATGTGGCTGCAGGAGCTGAGGATCGAACCACCAAGATTCTGGATTTAGGCACCGACTGACTACCACTGAGCCACAGCCGATGTGAATTTAGACACCAAATTACATTGATTAAATATAAGTTAAACAATAAATGCTAATTTTAAGCAGCAGCTTTACAAATTTAGAAAAACAACCTCAGAGACTGCTGACTATGCTGAGTGGCTAACTTGCTAGTTATTAGCTTATATTTCTCCTGCTGTCAAGAGTATGCCTTTAGCTTCATTGTCACAAAATCATTGCTTTTCCCCTTGAAACTTGAGTAAAACACATCTCTGATCCTGTGAAAACAACAAAAGTATCATAAAATACTTGCAATAATGGCAACCAATACGTTTGGCAACTAAGCTACCTAGCTAGCTCTCAGAAGTGGCAAACTGGAGCCAAAGCCAGGCCTTGGTCTGCAAAAACAGGAACAGACTTACTAGCAAATAAAAACATAATTTGCACCAGCACAACAACTGAAATTCAATTTTCATCCATGTTAACCAGTACATTGAATTTTATTTATTCTCAATATCTACTGAAAGTGGAAAGTTAGCAGCTAATTCCAACCCAATCAATGTATAAAAATGTACGTTCAGCATGTATGTTGTGAACAGAAAGCTGTGTTAAATATTACATTCTTTGCGTAATACTGTAAGCGAGTCCACAGAGGAGGGTACCTTACCCGCTTGCGAAGGTTGCATGTGAGGATGAGGTTGCGTGAGAAGGAGTTGGCGAAGGCCGTGTAAAACTCCAGCACTTTGAGTAAAGCCTCCCTCTTGATGACGTGCAGGTCGCAGTACGTTAGCGCTCTGACGTTAGCAGTCGCATGTGCCAGGGTGGTTTCTTTCCAAAAGACATCACCAAACACGTCGCCTTTACCTGAATACAAAACACACAGGAGAAAGAAGTTTAGAGTTTCATGGAGCAAAGACAAGAGTTTAAATCAGTAATACACCAAGTGTTTGAGGTGTGACACCTTAGGAAACAAAAACATGGAAAGTGGGTCTTAAGTAATGAAATAACCAGTTTCCAATCATAACCCTGGATGTTTTAGATATACAACTAACTTGAGTTAACATGATTGATAAGTTGATAAATAGAAAATGAAGAAAACTTTCTTAATGTAATCTAATCTAATAATTACTGATAATATTTTATTGTCAATAAAGTCATATTTTCAGGTAAGAAGCTACATGTTACCCTTGTTTTCTGTTGTTAAAAATGCACATGTCTGTGTCTTAAGCATTCTTGTATTATTGAAATGTTTGCATGACAAAATACTCGAGATACATTTGTAAGACTGTAAGACTGTAAATGATCATTCATTTCAAGTCCAACCATAAATGTTACACAGATTGCAAAGAACACTTTGAAAATCTTTAGATGTTGTCCCACCAACCGGGGATGCTTCAGGTGCTGTAAGACATTATAAAAGACTATCTATGTAGAATACTATCAAGTGAATCAATCAAAGTCAATACAGTCAGATATCTTGGATTTGAGGGTTGTTTATGTGCATTGAAGTGCCAGTCTTTGAAACACATTTCTTTTGGAGGTAAATCTTCAATGTTATCCTTATTAAGTCATATTTTTATACAACAACAACATGTTTGTTGTCATCTAATAAGGCAGCTACATGACAACGTTAGAAGATATTTAGACATAAGTGAAGGTGCAGTAGCTTGAATATGTTAACTGAGAGAGGAAATCTGAAAAGAATTTATTTAAGAGGCCGTAATGGCTAGAAAAAGGGTTGACTTCTTCTACCATGAACACATTTTATTTTGTATTTTTTACATTAATACGAGAAAGTTGACAAGAAAACCAATTAAGAATGGCAATGATTAGATTTACAGACATACACTTGCTGTAAAAATGAATAATGTGCATGTCTTCATAGTCAAACACTTCCACTCTTTATCTTTCCTTAGCAACAGTTTTACCTGTCCAGGTCCTTAGCAACAAGAGCAGCTGATTTTACTATCAGACACTGATATCAAGCATAAAGTAAGTAATACTTACTTACTTACTATTTACAGCATAATGGAATTTAAGGGATAAGCATAGCAGAGACCCATAGTTAGATGGGGGGCGGGGGGGCATTTGAGTGGTGTGTAACAATGATAGACTGTATACAATTTGGACTGTATTGTAGCGTCACATGATGCCATTGGGCCCAAAAATACTTTTTCTCATAAGCTTATATTTGGACAGAGACGTCTATGAATCAGTGGATACAACTTCAATATCCTTTTTAAAAATTATTAGGTCCTAAAAGTTGTAAAATTCAATTAAATCCAAATTAAAAAATATTTATGTACAAAAAGGTCAGAACCATGGGACTGCGTTTCCAAGTTCACATACTGTACGGGCGCCCAGTAATGCTGAAGAACTCGATACTTTTACATGTGGATGTCGGTATTTTTTTGCTTCATGCGCCACAGGGCGACTTTCATAGGTATGAACAGGGCTCTGGATGGGTTTCTAATAAGTTTCTATTTTAAGTTTCTAATAGAGATGGTGACTCACGCTCTGCAACAGGTACAGCGGCTATCACTTACAAGATAAACAATAAGCTGCTGCAAGCAGTTATGTTAATAGCCAGTAATGCAAGGGGACTAGCATTGATGAGCCGCGGTTGCACCCGAGCAGGTGCATCATAATGCTGTCATAATTCATTCATTTGGACTAATTCTTAAAGTAGACAGTAAAAAAACATCTACATACATATATACAGTATATACATATTAAAGAAATACTTCGGTTGCCTTAACCCGTCCATAAAAATCCATTGTCAGGCAAGTCGCTTTCTTCTGGCACGAGGACTGCAGAATGGAATAAACTTTTAAACTCTCACACACACATGATAATTCATCTTTGACCACTGTCAAACTAAAACACACAAGTCCAAACTAAAGCACAACTTCAGAGAAGGCAGTGGTATAACTGAGAACCCAAAGGCAGGTGGTGCACTGTAAAAATAAAAGCTAACTGCATTAAGAGAAAGAATGTCCAATGACTGATAGGTTCACTGCAGTATTTTTTGGAGAGCTGTCAATCAAAGTGAACACCGTGTTGAAAATGAAAGATAAGGAGAACATGAAAACCTTCTCTTGCAAACTTTCACATCACATTTAACCCTGACATTTAAAAATCTGTCACATTGGTATTGTTTAAACCTGTCAGTCACACAGAATTTGTGTTGGATTTTCAGTTAAATAAAATAGAGATTTTTTATTGTGAATAATATATATATTTTTCTTACACTACAATATTATAAAGTTTGCGGAACTGACCCTTAAAATCACATCTGCTTTCATTTATTGGTTTCAAACCATGTGCAGCCACCTGGACACTTGACTTATCAACTGCCAGCATTAATTAGCCATGCAAATCACCCGTAGCAGATGATTGCATGTTTACACTTGTGAGCGTCTCCTTGGCAACGCAACATTTGTTGTGATACAAACAAGAGGATGAAGAGTCATAATAAGGAGCAGCATCAAATGTGTCATATGCCGTCGGCTGTTCAGTGTTTTGAAGAATAAGGAAAAGGGATATTTAAAGAGATATTAAAATAAAAATGGATTAAAGGGTCCCAAAACGTGAAGTTTGCACACTCAAATGCACAAATTAGAGCAAATAGGAGGAAAAAGATTCAAATACAAAACTTTTTCAAATGGCGTATGGAATATACAGCTAGTCATTCATATATTTAATTTCCCTAAAGACATCCAGCTCCACTCTGGCTATATTACACACACACACACAAAAAAAAAACTGTGCTAATCAGGATTCAAATCTGTGTCAAACCTGCCACAACCACCAGCGCAGCGTTTTTCTGACAGCTGACCCGTACAAGATGTGACGAAAAGCAGTCCACAAGCTGTCAAAACACCCTGAGAAACAGCCGTATAACGCCTCCAAAATACCATATCAAAATGTGTACAGTGAGAGTGTGTGTGTGTGAGTGAGTGGATCTCATCTCGACAATCCCTCCTCTGCACCCCTCAGGGTTCCTTTCTCACCAGCTCGGGCAGCGGTACACGTCTGGAATGAGCTCCCAAGAGATCTGCAGCTCCTCGCCAATTAGCCGTGGAGATGTGGACGGGGTCACATGGGTGGGGAGTTTGGTGAAGGTGTTAGTGGTTGTGTGCGCCGAGTGTGATTTTTACAGCGGGGTTAAAAACCACAGGGAGGACTGCTAGGATTGAGCGGGTGGAGACGGATACATGGGTGCTGTGACCCCTGTCCTCCGGCTTTGTAATGCTACTGATTACACAGTCGGTTAAAATCTTTCAGCCAGACTGCTCACAGGGACTTCTGTTTGATGTGCACACAGAACATGAGGTACAGAGGGGGCCTTTTAGCCTCACTTGTGTTCTCAAATAACATAAAAGCTACAGTACAGGCGTTAGCGCAGGTCTTTCTTTCTGTGGCTGAATGTAACTGCAAAAAATCAATTAATCTTTATTATTTGATATATTGTTTTTGAATGTGGATTATAATTGTTTGCTGTGAATTTGGAATCCCAGTGAACTATGTAAAATTCTAGTTCACAACCTGTATATCAAAGGATGCATCAGTGTATCTGTTGAACACGAGCCGATATCCGCCCCGTTGACAGCATCAGCCCAAATTAAGAATCCCTATGAAAAAAATAAACTTTCCACTGGGAGATTAGAGCACAAATATAGACAGCTCACGTCTTGAAATTCTGCTACTTTTTCAGGTATTAAGCACACAGCGCTATTCAAAAAGACCCAAAGGTCCCGTACCTATGGAAGCAGATGTCAAGTTTTGTAACCTAGCAACAGTAAAGGCCAATGAGAAGCGCTCTGAAACTGAGGTGGTGAACGCTGCCAGCACACACACACAAAAAAAAAAAAAAGAGCCGTTAGTGAGCACAGACACTCAATCACGGTGCATTTGGAACGGGCCGCCTTGGATTTAGTCGTCTTTGTTTACAAGCTCTGGTTTTCTTGTCCAATCTCATCCCGCGGTGCATCCTTTAAAATCCTAACAATCCAAAGTGAGCTCACTGACCAGACAGCACTTGTACAAAAGGTGTCAAAACAGCTGGTTGGGCAGTTCTTTAATGGTTAGTGAAAATAGGCCTTTTCCACATCCTTTATTGAGAAAATCTTAAACTGCTTTGTCAGAGAAAGAACACTTCCCTTATATCATCCTGACCTCAGGGAACGTATGTTATACTGCTCTGTTCTAAATTTGTATGTTAAGCACTTTGTGCTACATCGTTGTATGAAAAGTGCTATTCAAATTAAGTTTGATTGATGGCTGCCAAAGTTGCCATTTTGAACGTAAACAAACTATACTATCAAATACAGGGATCCTATTTAAGCCAATGGTGATGAGTCATATATGGTTTGAATAAACTCTTACAGACATTTTGGCTCTTCATAAGCACCAATATCCTTCAAACGAGGCAATGCCGCTGAATGCTGCCGCGGCCTGTATCCCCCATCAGCAGAAAAAGAAATTGCCTGTGGGCGGTTGTGCACCCTCGCACTGCTTTATCTCGCATTGCAGCTCGCCAGACGTCGGTCCGGTAAGACGCATTTCGGGCTGCTTCTTTCAGCTGATGCTGCCGTTACTCCTGTCAGACTATTATCTGGGAAAAGTGAGTGGGTGGCGAGAGTAATACCGCTGCTGTGACTCGGATATCCACTGACAGCAGCATTAATGGACCTTATTGAATTAGAAGTACGATAAAAATATAAAGCACTCTGGTAGTGCTTCCAGACCATGAAAAAAAACAAGGTTGTTCCTGCAACATATTTGCCAGTCATAGTTTGTCAGTTTTTCCCACTTTAGAGCTCGCTAAACATGTTCATGGTGGAAAAAAGTTTCACAGAGCT